AATTGGAGGGTAAAAACAAGACTATAAGAAGAAGGGAGGCAATTGCAACTGTAGCAACTGTAAAGGTAGAAGTTTTATGGCAAAAAGGGGTGAGTGGTTGATCTTACAGTCCAGGAACAGAGGACCCTAGAACCATCAAGGGAGAAGAGCGGGAGTGGAGTGTGGGACCCTACCCAGAGAAGTGAAAATGCCAGAGATGGAGGCAGAGATGATGATGTGGAGAGAGGGAGCAGATGAGGACTCTAGACTCATGGAGGGAGAAGGGCTGTGTGTTGGCAACCAGGGGGCAGGTTTGCAGGGTTGTGCCCTTTTGTTGTTTGAATGATTGTATATTCCTGAGTGTTTTGGTTTACATCCAAAAAAAAGAAAGAGGGAATTGAAGCAAATATTGTTGAATGATAATGCATGCAGGGGATTGTGATCATTGCAATGAAATGAAGTACAATAGGATGAGTGTAAAACTGATGTTCTCCCGTGTAAACTATCACTCAATTCATAATAAAAACTTAAAAATATATAAAAGAAGAAGGAAGGCAGCCTAGGAGTGCATTGATTGTCTGTACCACCCAAGGATTCCTGTTAATGCAGTGGTCAAGTACTTGACTATTAACCAAACCCACCAGTCACTCCATGGGTGGCTGCTTTGGAAATCTGTTTAGGAAACCCAATGGGGCAGTTCTATTCTGTCTTTTGTTGTTGTTGTTGAGTCGTTTTTTTGACTCATAGCAACTGTGTATAGGGTTTCTGAGGAGCAGCTGGTGAGCTTGAACCACCAACCTTGTGGTTCAAAGTGACCTTGTAATCCAGTACATTAACCTGTAGTGCTACACCAGGATTTCATTGTGTCTTATAGGGCCGCTATGAATTGGAATTGACTCAGTGGCAATGAGTCATGAGGTAGAAAGGGATGCCCCAATTCTTGAATGAGGGAATCCCCAGTTAACATGAGGAAAGTCTGCCAGCAAAGGAGAGAAAACATGTGCACAGTACTTAATATCAAGGAAAAGAAGAGAGGCTACCCCAGAGACTCTGAAACCAGCGGTCAGTGGGTTAGCATGGATCTGTAAGGCTGGCAACAGCAGGGCCTCATCACCAGATTGAGATGAGCAGCCCAGTTTCCTACTCAGCATCTTGCTTTGGAAGGCCGTCCCCACAGACAAGCCCACATCACTAGTCAGACAGAGACAAATGAGGAGCCGTGGAAAGGCAGCAAGAGCCAAGACAAAGGATCTAGCAGGACTGATTTATGGGAATGGGAAGAAGTTCAAATTAAATATGCATCATGTAGGCAAGCAGAGGCTGAGGGGAAATACCCCCATCTGTGAGGATTGAAGGAAGCTGATTTGGGACAGTGAGAAGTACCACTTAGCCTCCAGGAAGGGGTGGGGTCTGAAGACAGAAGGTCAATGAAGAGCTAGAGAAGAAGTGTTGGCTAAACATTCAGAACATAACCTTTGCGATGATGGGAGCTTGTGATGGGCATACATGGTGGGCAGTAGGTGCCTCCACCCCAGTCCAGACCATTGTCCTCTGTCACCAGCTAACTGCAGCTAGTTGGGTTCTTGTCCCCCAAGTAAACCATTTTCCAAGGAGCAGCCCAATGACACCACAGTTGAACTAGAACAGATCGTTCAAAGCTTTCAGTGACTTTCAGTCCCTGGCAGAATAAACGCAGCCTCTCTGTCATGGTCTAGCCATTTCCTACCCTCCAGGCCCCATCTCAGGTGACCCTTTACAGCCTCAGGGGTTAAGCTCCTCCCCACCCCAAGGTCCTCCCTCATGCTCGTTCCTCTTTCCAGAAGGTTCTCTCCACTTGTCTGGATAACTCCTAGTGCTCTTTCTGGTCTTGGTTTAAAATTCTGTTCTCCCTGGAAGATTGTCCTTCTCCCCGCTAGACTAAGTTTGTACCCTCCTTCATATAACACATATAACACATGAGCACTTATTATAATAGAAATTAATTAAATATTTTGTGATTTTTTTAAATTAATAAACTTTGTTTTTAAGAGCAGATTTAGCTTTGCAGAAAATCACACAGAAAGTAGAGTTACCATATGTCTCCCTCTAAACCTATCTTTGTTTCTCCTATCAACAGCTTGCATTCCTGTAATACATTTTGAAGCAATATTGATGCATAACTATTAACTAAAGTGCATAGTTTGCCACAAGCAGTTAAGCACTCTACTACTTATGAAAAGGTTGATGGTTCTAGCCCACCCACACGCACCTTTGAAGAATGGCCTGATGCTCTGCTTCCTAAAGTTTATAGCCTTGAAGACCCTATAATCTGCGGTTCTACTCTGCACATATGGGGTTGACATGGGTCAGAATCGATTGGACAACAAGTGGTTTGGTTTGGGTGTAGTTTACCTTAGAGCTCAATCTGTGTTCAGTTTTATGGGTTTTGATAAATGCATAGCATCTTGCATTCACAGTTACAGAATCATGTAGAATAGTTTCATTGTTCTGAATACCCTTGTGATTCATCTACTCATCTCTCCTCCCCCTTCTCTCAAACTGCTGATCTTTTTACTGTCTCCCTGCCAGACCTTGTGCCCCTTCAGAGCAGGGACCTGTCTGCCTTGTTCACAACTAACTCACTGTGCCCAGCTCAGAGTCTGGTACATACCAGATGCCCCACAAATATTTTTCTTTGCATATTTTAATAAAAATAGGATTCTACTAAACACATTATTCTGCAATTTGCTTTTTACAAATATTGACGATGTATCTTGGAAATCTTCCCATATCGGAAGCACACACGCTCTATTCTCTTTCTCTCTTTAACTTTTTATTATGGAGAATTTCCAACCACAAACTACTACAATCAACTGCCAGGTATACCTGTCACCCAACTTCAGCAATGATCAACTCATGACCCTTCTTGTTTCATCTGTATCTCTACCCATGTCCCCTTACCTATATTATTTTGAAGCAAATCCAAAACATCAGCTCATTTCATCTTAAGTATTTCAATGTGTGTATCTCTAAAAGATAACGATTGTTTTTATCAATGTAACCACAATACCATCATCCCACTAATAAGCATCAAGTTAAGATTAGCAAATAGTGCTCAAATTTTCAATTGTCTTATAAATATAATTTTCATTGGTTTGTTTTTGTCATTTATTTGAAACAAGAGCCACATAAAGTCCACATGTGCAAGACTACAACTGGTTGATGTACCTTTGAGATTTCTCTTAGTCTGGGTTCCCTCTCCATAGATACATAGATAGATAGACAGATTGCCTCTCCATATATAGATAGACAGATAGATATATGTGTGTAAGTATATATATGTTTGTATATATATGTGTGTGTGTGTATGTGTGTATATGTATATGTATAGCCTCATATGGATGCCTAAGCTGGACAATGAATAAGGAGGATCGTAGAAGAATTGATGCCTTTGAGTTGTGGTGTTGGAAGAGAATACTGAAAGTGCCATGGACTGCCAAAAGAACCAATAAATCTGTTTTGGAAGAAGTGCAACCAGAGTGCTCCTTGGAGGCCAGGATGGCTAAGCTTCGTCTCTCCTACTTTGGACATACTGTCCGGAGGAAACAATCGCTGGAGAAGGATGTCATGCTGGGTAGGGTGGAGAGTCAGAGAAAAAGAGGAAGACCCCCAACGAGATGGATCAGCCAGGTGGCATCATTGATGGACTCAAGTGTGGCAGCGGTAGTGAGGTTGGCCCAGGATGGAACATTGTTTCGTTCTGCTGTGCATGGAGTCGCTATGAGTCGGTTCCGACTCGATGGCACCTGACAACAACAACAACAACATATATATATATATATATATATATAAAATTATTTTTTTAATTCATCTGTTGAAGACACTGGGTCATTTCTTCTAGAGCATTTCCCTCAGTCTGGGCTTTGTTGATTGCATCCCTGTGGTGGTGTTTAGTATGTTCCTCTGTCCTTTGGATTGCCTATAAACTAGTCATTGGAGCTGAAGACTTGATTGATTCAGGTTCCATTTGTGTTGACAAGACTGCTCTGGAGGTGGAGGTGAGCTCTGCCTCTGGAAGCACTTTCTCTGGGCCTCTGTCTCTCTGTGCTGTTCTCAGTGGTGGAGCATGGAGACATTCGTTCATTCATTCATTCATCATTGCTAGTTGCTGTCACGTCATCTCCAACTCCTGGAGACCTGATACACAACAGAGCCAAATGTTGCCCAGTCCTACACCATCTTCATGCCCTTTGGTGTGTTTGAGTCCACTGTTGCAGCTATTAGGTGACACCATCTCATGGAAGGTCTCCCTCAATGATCTTTCCATCTGTCACTCCTTTCTCAATGATTAGCTGGAATGCTTTGATAAAGAGAAACTTCCCCTCATTAACTTTTTGGCTACCCTGAGGTACACAGTGGATATAGGACAGGCAGGATAAATGCTTGCTTCTTTCCCTTTATTTACCAGTTTTCAGAATAATGAGTTGCCTATAAATATTTGAATGAATGAATGAATAATGCATGCCTGGATGAATTGACAAAGCTTTGGGAGTCTGGGCTTCTCTCTGTCTGGGCCACTAGGAGTAGGGGTAGAGCCACCATGCACAGCCAGGCTGACTTCTACACAGTGAGAGGTGGGTAGGCATTTCTTGGTACCTCTCAACCCACCTTGGTCATGGCTAAGGCAATCAGTACTGTGTGACTAAGAATAAGAATGTCCCAGCATCTGGTATCTCAAAGCCCTACTCCAATTGAGAGGTAGGAAACCCTGGACCCACCATCCACCAAGAGTGTAGAAAAACAGCAGAGTCAGAGCAACTTTCATGCCAGGGCAGAGGCTCAAAGCAGTTCCTACAATGGAGAAGGAGTTGGGGATTTTTCTACCATAAGGAGTGTTGGGGAAGGTTGGACTGAAGGCCTTCAGGGTCCCCTCCAGGCCAGCTGCAGCACCCTCAGAACCCTTCCTGACTCTCTGTCCCCCAGGGGCCAGAACTGCCTGGCAACAGCTCACTGATGTCTTTTCTCTCTCTGTGTTCCCCCAGGTGCAAATGCAGCCTACACGCCAACCTGTGCTCCATGCGTGAGGGCAGCCTGCAGTGTGAGTGTGAACATAACACCACAGGCCCAGACTGTGGCAAGTGCAAGAAGAACTTCCGCACGCGGTCCTGGCGCGCTGGCTCCTACCTGCCGCTACCCCACGGCTCCCCCAATGCGTGTATGTACCAACAGAGTGGCTACCATGACCGACCACTGGGCCACCAGCTCGTGTGGTCTGCCCCATCCTTCAAGCCCCAGGAGCTGTGGATCTCTCTCTCTCTCTCACACACACACACAGCACATTCACACAGCACAGACACATACGCACACATGGCCACACATACAAAGACAGACATAGATATACAGACACACATGCACACAGAGACTTAGACATTCCCACATGCAACCACACACATACACACACACAGAGGGGGTACACACCGGCACACTCCTGTTACAAGGCTCCCTGGAGCCAGGCCTTGTACTCTAGACCTCCATCACTACTACACTCTGTGGAAACCTAGGCTGCCTTTCTGGCCCTGCCTGCTGCTCAGCATTTTGGCAACTGCCCTTCCCCTTCTTCACCCTGAAGGCGGAGAAGAAAGCAGCCAGGATGTGAGGGAGTGGAGTGGTGGAGACCTCCACCCCAGGCCGAATTGAAGTAGCAGCACCCTACTAATGAACAGTTATGGGGTACTTACAGAAAACAGCCCTGATGTGGTTCTTACAGTACCCCCAACCATGCTCTGCACAGCTCCTGTCTCTCATTGCTCAGTCTCCCTGTTGCCAGGAGGTGTGCCCCTCAGGGTTTACCCACACACACTCACATCATGAACACTTTTCAGGAGACCTCCAAGTTATCAAGGCCATTTGGTCAAAGTCAGGCTAGACCCCAGTCTAGCCATGGAGTACGTCCACCGACTCATGAAACCCATGAAGCCACTGAATGGATGCTGAGAAGGGCCCAGGCTGATCCTAGGACCCACCCATGTGTGATCTGACATTTCTTGGGTGGTTTCTATGTGCCATAGGCTGTAACAGGCATTCCATACACATCAGCCATTAACCTTCACAACCACCCCACTCTCCAGATCAGCAAACTGAGACCCAATGCACTTCATTGCCCACCCCCGGTGAGTTAGGCACCAGTACCAGGATTCAAGTGACTCACTGGATCTGGCACCAGGACCAGGGCGGCCTCCTGCCCCAGCTCCCCCTGCCCGCCTAGCTACCCTCACAGGAGCTCTGCTCCCTCAATGGGTGAAAGATTTATGGGATGACATTAGACTGATCAAAGCTGAAAGCAACCCAGTGAAGCCATGACAGGCATGCCATGCTTGTGCCCAGGAAGGCAGTGGCGACAAGCCTTTGAAAGGGGTGGCTTGTCAGGCACAGCAGACACTCATGGACTTCAAAGGTGCAAAGCGCACTTCAGGGCCTGACAAGCCTGCCTCCCCAACCCTCCTTTGAGCTCTGTTCCTGTCTCTTTGTTACTTGAAACCTTCCTTTCCTTCTTTTCTCTCTGACTCCTGGTCTTGCCTTCCCTCTTTTCCATCTAGGCTAGAGTCCTCTCAACTCACCTCTTCCCTCCCTATCCCCTCACTTTCTCCCCATTACTTCCAGCTCTATCCCTCCATTTGTCCCCTTTTTCTCCTGAGAGGATGCTCCAAAGTCTCCTGTCTGCCCAACTTGCATGACCGACCAAGACTTTCACCAACAGCCTGGATCCCTGTCAAGCCCAGGAGTGTCCACTGTCCCCTCCAGACTGGAGGCCAGCTCTCCCTTCTGACCATTACTGGACAGACAGGACTGGTGGAGACCTCTACCTTGAACACTCCCCTCCCTCATCACAGCAGGAGAAGTCAGTGTCCTTATTTGGGAGAGGGGACACTCTGTGGCTCCCATAAGCAACTACCACAAACTGGGTGGCTTTACAGGAGCAGAAATTTATTCTCTAACCATTCTGAGGCCAGGAGTTAAAATTCAGGGTGTCGGCCGGGTACTGCTCCCTCTGTTCATTCTAGGAGAAGATCATGCCTTGTTTCTTCCAACTTCTGATTGTTTTTGTTGCCGTAGATGCCATCAAGTTGCTTCCAACTCACCATGACCCTGTGTACAACAGAATGCAATACTACCCAGCTCTGCCCCATCCTCGTATCATTGCCATGTTTGGATCTACTATGGCAGTCTCTATGTTAATCCATCTCACTGAAGATCTTGCTCTTCTGTCACTGACCCTCTACTTCTGGTAGCTCCAAGCATTTCTGGGCATTTCTTGGTCATCTTCTCTCTGTCTCTGTGTCTCTTCTCCTCTTTTGTAAGGATGGCACTTAGATTGGATTAGGACCCACCCTACTCCTATATGATTTCATGTTAACCTAACTAATAACATCTTCAAAGACTCATTTCTTTCAGTCCCATGGACAGGTACCAGCCTTCAACATTAATTTTGGGAGACACAATTCAGTCCATAGCAGAAAATTTCCTGGAACTGGTCTCTGATCCTAAATTCTTCATGGATCTCTGGGAATGCACTGAGAGATACCCAAACGCCAAGAACAAGGAGATTCTCTTGTAATGCTCTGGAATGTCCTCAGCTACTTAGGGCAACCAGTACCAGGAAAGCAACCCAAAGAGACACAGATTGAAGCAAGACTTGAGTTGATTTTGCTCTCACCTTGCTCTATATCCCCATCTTAGTAAGGAGCACCAACACCCACGGGCCAAGATACAGATCTGGAAGTCACCTTGGAAAGCATTCCCTCCTCCCCTCCACATGTACCCAACCCAGTGAGCTCTCTCCTAAATATATTCTGAACCTGGGACCTCCACCATTCTTACCACTGTCCTTTTGTGTCTCCTGCATCTCTTCCCTCAGCCTGCAATAGCTCCCCCTCCATTTTCCCACCTTCTCTCTCCACCCCTCTGCTCCATCCTCGTGCTACATACAAGGGCTCTCCTGACCTGAGAGCTCACCTGCTTCAGAATCTACAGCTCCCACCTCATCCATATTGCCCCGAAGATTGACTTGTCTCGCCATCTCCCAACAATGTACAAGATCCCCGTCCAAAATGGCCCTACCTTCCACCACTTTCTGACATTGAATCTACCAGATTTCGTATTTGCTCCTGTGGCCAGGACCACTCCTGACCATCCCTCTATCCCTCACTGTCTGGCCCCTGCTCACCCTTCTGGGTTCAGCTTCAAGATCCCTTTCCTAGTGCCGTCCCTGTTCTGTGCACCTGCCCCCAGCCTCCTGCCTCTTCCCACCTGAATATGTACCACACACCCCTATCCTCACCAACTCCTTCCTGGGCATGTACCTTTCCCAAGGCTGTATCCCCCACCCCCTTGCACACTGAGTGAATGAATGCAAGTCCAGTGGCCTCATCCTCCAGGCCTTCCTGGACCCTCTGCTGTCCTCACATACAGCCTCCTCTGATACAGCCTCAGATCCCCAGGAGAGGCCACATTCAACACACGTTTCACTGGGGAGACCACAGTGTCCATCCCAGGAGGGCCTCTGTGGTGGCACATACCACAGTTATACGAGGAGGACAATATGGCTTGGTGATAAGAGCTTGCATTCTATGTGGCCTTATACAAGTCATTTCACTTCCTGGTCTCAACCAGTTTTCTCATTCCCAGAATCAAGATCATATTAAAAACCCCATTGTGGAGTAGTCATGAGGAATAGATGGGTTCATATAAGGAGAGTGCTTAGCACAGTGTTCGGAATATTCCCAACCAAAACCAGTTGCCTTTGAGTTGATGCCAGCTCATAGCTACACCATGTATACAGAGTAGAATCGCTTCTTGGGGTTTTCAAGGCTGCAACATTTGGGAAGCAGATCACCAGACCCATTTTCCAAAATAGCTCTGGGTGGGTTCCAACAGACAACCTTTTGATTAATAGTCACACTTAACTGTTTGCACCACTCAATGACTCCCACTACCCTATAGGACTCATTTCCAACTCATTACGACCCTATAGGACAGGGTAGAACTGCCTCATCAGGTCCAAGGTTGTAGTCTTTACCAAAGCATTTTGCCACATCTTCCTCCCTGGTGGGTTCAAATCGCTGACCTTTTGGTTTAGCAGCTGAGCACTTAACCACTGTGCCACCAGGACTCCTTGCCTGGCACACAGAAAGCATTTAATGTGGTGGTTGCCACAATTATGTTTCATTAAGTTATTGGACCACCCCTGCATGGCCCCAAATAGGAACATCCTGGTTTCTCTCTGGTTGTAAATCTCATCAAAGCTCCAGCCAGCCAGTTGGCCCATGTCCGTGACTAGTATTTTCCCTGATGTCCCATCACCCCTTGTAGTATGCCTGCCCAACTCCACCTAATTTCCTTGTTCTGCACTAGAGGACCTTGTTGTTGTTGAGTGCTATGGTGTTGGTTCCGACTCATAGTGACCCTGTATAGGATTTCTGAGGCTTTAAATCTATGTGGAAGCAGAAAGCCTTGTCTATGTCCCACAGAGCAGCTAGTGGGTGCAATTCATTGGTCTTATGGTTCACAGTCCAGTGTTTATCGTATGGAGCCACCATGCTCCCACAAGTCTAAAATTACATGGGACAAATGCACGTGAATCTCCTAACAGTGTTTGACACTTATCAGCAGGTCCCATTGGGTAAGCCACGGCTCTGAGATTCAGTTTCTTTATCTGCTAAATGGGGCTAATGATGGTTCCTCCCTCACTGGGCAACAGTGAAAATGAATGGGATGCTAGCCAAAGCCGTTACACAGAGTGGACTCAGAGTGAGCGTCACCAACAAGGTCAAGTAGTGTGCATTTGTGACCTTGAGTCTCATTGCCTGTGGCTGAGGAAGCACACTGCCCCCTTCTCTGAATGGGAGAGATAGCCAGGTACCTTATTCCTGTGACAGCCAATGACCTTTCCTCTCTCCCACAGGTGCCGCTGTGGGCTCAGCCTTTGGCAGTAAGTATATCCCTGAGCTGGCCAAGGGGAGGGCTGCTGGTACTCCGGGAGTGGGGGTGAGGATTCTGTCTGCATGTCCTAGGAAAACCAGGAGCTGTTCAGGGCCTTGATGTCCTCTCTGGGCCTGCGTGTCACTCTGCTTCTGCCTCTAATTGCGCCCCATTTGCTTCTCCACCTTTCATCCCCTCCTTTGTGTCACCATTTTGCTGTGGCCTGCAGCCTGCCGTCTCTCAGTGTCTCCCCACGAGCTTCATTAGTGCTGCTTTGGAAAGCTGAATGGGACTCCTTTGCAGGTTTCCTGGACCTTTAGGTGAACTCCCCTCTCTGCTCACTACTCCTCCCTCCTCTATCACCAGACCAGAGAGAAACTTCCCTCCTGCCAGGCAAGAGCAGGGGTCATCATCTTGCCCCCACTTACCCACAGTCTGACCATGGAGTCTGCTTCCTCTAGGTAGCCTGCAGCTCCCACCTCCATGGCGAGGCTGGGACAAGTCAACCCCATTCCTCACGTACTGGTCATCCAAGTAGTCTCGGGTATTTGAAGACATGAGAGAGAGTCCTGAAAGGAGGAAGGGTGAGGGGAGGGCAGATGTTCCAGTGGTCTATCAGTAAGAGTGGCCATGTGGCTACGAAGGCAGCACTCACTGGCATCAGGTACGATAGTAAGCAAGAGGCTCATAAAAAGCACTTCCCCTTGAGTTGGCTCTGATTCATGGCAGTCCATGAGGATCAGAGCAGAACTGTGCTCCATAGGGTTCTCAATGGCTGATCTTCCATAAGCAGATCACCTTCTTTCAAGGCACCTCTGAGTGAATTTGAACATCCAACCTCTCAGTTAGTAGCCAAGCACATTAACCATTTGCATCACCCAAGAATTCTAAAGATGCTCATAGCGCTTTGCTATCCAGTCGATTCCACCTCATAGTGACCCTATAGGGTAGAACTACATACTAGAGTTTCCGAGGCTGTAACCTTGACGGAACCTAACTGCCACACCTTCTCCCTAGCAGCAAACCACTGACCATTCTTTTAGCAGCTGAGTGCTTAACCACTGTGCCACCAGGGCTCCTAGGATACTCCTACTATTCGAGAGTTGAACTCTCAAACTCACCCTTCAGGTAGGGTTACCATCTGTCCCGAGACTCAGCAGCAGTAGAAAGCACAGCCATCATGGAGCACCACCACCCTTTAGGGTTCTTGGGGTCACACTTCATCTGATGCACCCCTCTCCTGGGCTGCCCCCACTGGGATACCAGTGGGCAGAGAGGGAATTGAAGAAAGCTGGGTGCCAGAGGGGACACGGGGCTACCCCTCTGTGTTTCCCCACACTCACCAGTTCTCCACCCGCTCTTGCTTTTCTCATGTCTCACCAGGCATTGACAAGTCTCAGAAAGACCCTGTCCTTAAAGTCCCTGCGGCCAATGTGGCCATGAGAGAAGACCCCACCACTCCTGCCCCCTCCATACCCACTGCCCCCAAAGCCCCCAGCATTCCACAGTCTATAGGTGGGTGCCAGGATACAGCCAGTAACCCCACTGCCCTGACCCTTTCCTACTGCCATCCTGACTCCCTGCCATGTGGCCATGGCATTTGGGGCAAGGCATGGGCTTGGCTTTTAGACGTAGAGAATGCTAGAACCCAGAGCTGTAGGGACATGGGCCAACCTCTCTCCTCAGGCTCCAGCCAGAAAATTCAGGGAATGCTTCTAGCTGCTGATAACTTCTTCCTCCTGTCCCCAACCATGCCCATTCAAAGCTGACCAGGATGCAGGTGGCAGGGAGGCCACACTGAACCCACCACATTCAGGGCCCGACCTCCATTGCTGTTGCCTCCACTGGGTGCTCCCCACCCCATACACACGTACACCCTCTTCTGCCCCTAGCTGGGATGGACCATGGCAATGAAGGCGAAGGGAGCCCTGTGGAGCAGAGTTTTGAAAGCATGGATGATTTGGGGACCCAGGGTGTGGGGCAGCGACAGACCTCTGCCTCCCCTAAACCAGTGAAGCCCAACCTTAGAGTTCTGTGGCTACAAACCTGTTTGGAGACCCCTGACTCTCCTACTGCAATTCCCCTCTGAAGGCAGGATTTGTGTGTGATCAAGACCTGGGGTGCTGTGCTGGGGTAGCTTGGCTCACTAGTGTCACATAGGGTTCTGACCAGACCCTGCCTATCATAGGTGGCAGCAGTCCGAGAGACCACACCTCTCCCAGAAAGTGCCAGGAAGATAGTGGCCAAGGGGAATTAGTCCTGTTTCCACTGGAGAGGGGTGCCCCAACTCTGCCCACTGCCCCACTCTCCTATACTGGAGGAGATGACAGAGGCTCCCTACTCCTTGGGCAATGCTGTGACCTTTCTTCTCTGACCCACTAAAGGGGTTACCAGAGCTTTTTTTTTTTTTTTTCCCTTTCTCCCTTCTCCACTAGGAAGCATTTGCTGGAGGCAGGGGCTAGCCAGGAGATCTGATGATTTCAGGGGAGCCTGCAGGCCCAGGAATCCTTGAGGTGGAGGGTGGGGTCACTCTGGAAATTCTGGGCTTTGAGCAGAGGTTGGCCCGGGCTACCTGTGACTTGCGCTTTTGCTGAGCCTGTTGTGGTGGGCAGACAGGGAGCAAAAATAGTCACAGTGGGTGCTATGTCTGCCTTCAAAGAGAGGTTCGTCTCGGTGGGAGCCAAACACTTTTCTCTCTGTTATACACATACTCAGACAAGGGGTGACCTTGAATCCATTTTTAGAGCTGCTTTTGATTTGGTGCAAGGGGTAGAGGGCAAATTATGCAAAGCTGGGAGTTGAGGAGAGTCAGATCAGTAGCGATGAACCTAGAGGAGGTTAAGATTGTGAAGGTCCCTGAGCTCAGCGACGTGAGAAGGCAGCGCCTCCCGCTGGCTGGAATAGCAAACACTTAGGACTTCAGGTTTGTGTAAAGGTTAGGCTTTCCGATACATATTTTTGGGGAACACAATTCAATCTACAACACAATTCAATCTATAACACCAAGCAGGAACAGGTGTGAAGGGAGTGACCCAGGCAATCAGTTCTGAAGCCGTCGATCCTGCACCTGTGGGCCAGTTGTACCTGGAAGCCCTGTTGGTGAAGAGTGGACTTAGCTGGTGCTAAGAGCTTCTCTTGTGTTAGTATGCACCTGACTCACAGCTCCATGGGACGGATGGATTGCTTGCCTAATTCCACAGGTGCAGATACTGAAGCTTAGAAAGCAGCAGCTGAATTTTATGGTATGTAAATTATACCTCAGTGGTGTTGGGTGTCATAGGGCTTCCTAGGCTGGAATCTTTGTGGAAGCAGATTTCCAGGGTTTTTTCTGTGGAGCCACTAGGCAGGTTCAAACTACTGGCCTTTAGGTTAGCTTCTGAGTGCTTAACTGTGTGTTCACTAGGGCTCCTTTATACCTCAATAAAGCTATATTTAAAAATTTAAAAATTAGAAAGAAACAGCTTCCCAAAGTTCCAGGAATCTGAAGGGGCCCAGGCAGGATTTGAACTCAGGACTCCCTGACTCCAGACACTGCCTGCCCTCACTGCCACCGGAATGTCAATGCCCTGGGACCGTGGGGAGCTGGGAAGTGGTGCTATAACCTCTAAGGCTTGGTTTGCACAGCTTCCCAATCCTAAAGGAACAAATTGACCTCCATCTGCCCTTGGCACATGACGGACCTCCTCTAGAAAATTCTTCCCACACACCTGAACACATCCCTGGGGAGCCAAGGGGGTCGTCTTTCCCTTCCACTGCTCCAGGTCCAGGGTCTCTCCTGGATTCTCCCAACAGGTGCTTCCAACTCTTGTCCAAGTACCGCTGAGCCCCTGAACTCCAGGTCCAGATTGTTCTTCCTCCTGCCAATGTGGAGCTGCCTGGAAAGCAGGGACTGGGGGTGGGGGTTGGCTAATAAAGACCACTAATCCTTCCCCCAGCTCTGCACATGGAGCGAGAAGGCTCAAAAGCAAAATGCCTCCAGGGCGGGTTTTACTGCAGCTCTAATTAAGCCCTTGTCAATTTGGGCCCAGCCCGCCTCCTCTCCTCATTGAACACCATATTAATGTCAATTTGATATCCAAAGGCTCCCGGCACCCAGCTGGAAAGTCTCCGGCACTTTTTTAGCTGGTAGATTTTCTTTTTCTTTCCCCACCAACCATCATTGTGCGTAATCCCTTTAAGAAGCAGAAAATCAGATTTCTTCCCTTGTCCCTTTGGGTTTGTCCTTTGAAATTCGGCAAAGAGCAAGTTCTTGCCTTCACTGGCACAGCTTTCCTTCCCTGCCTGTGTGTACAGTTAGACTTGGAGATGAGCACTGTGGCATTTGAGGGTTGACTCACGTAGGGGTCCCCAGTGACAATGGACCCAAACTAGCGGGCTAGGAAATGAGAGGGCAGGCCGCATTGCCACAGATTTGACGGCAGTGACCAGGAATGCAGGTCCTGGGATCTGTGTTGGACAGGAAGACCTTGAGGACCCTCCTGGATGTGTTTGATGATCTTGGCCAAAAGATAAATACCACCCCATTTTCAGCCATTAGTCAGAGATTTCAGGATAGAGGGTTATGGGCCTAGATAACAGGATTCATGTAACTCTACCCTTCAGCTGGAAGGGAGACCACACAGAGAGGGTCCAAGAGTTTCTAAAATCAGGTGTCTGCTGAAAAAAGAATTGTGTAAAGATGCCGCTTCTCTGGCATGGAGGGTCCTTTCCCACCTGGCTTCAAGTCCATGTGTGCCCACCACAGGCTACAGTAGTGTAGCTGCCACCTCTAGAGTACATTGGAAACCAGTCCAACTTGGCCAGTTAGACAGAGCCCCTCATGGCGCTGCTGCTTATAAGGGGCCTGTGTGTGTGACATGCCTCAGTCTGTTCCCAGGAGTCCTCCAACCAACCCCCTCTCATAACTTGGTTTTCTTCTCTTCTTCCCCCCAAGAGTGGACAAGGCCATCCACAGCTGCCCTCCTCTGGGAGAGCCCCCCGTGGCCCCAGGTCTCCTCCAGTGCAGAAGGTATGGGTGGGGCCTGTGACTGGCCTTAGGTCCTCTGGGAAGCTCCTTCTTAGACCCTGAATAGTAGAGGTAGCAGGCGGGCACAGTTGGGACACTGGGTGGGAAGGGTGCTGAGGGGAGGAGGTATAGTGAGATGGCAGGCACCCTTGATGAGCTCTGGGGCACAGCAAGCGGAGTGGGCCAATGTGACATCCCCAAACTTGGTTAATTCTGCACTCCCTCCAAGGGCTTCAGTTCCAGCAGTAACTCTGCTCCTTACAGCCTTAATCCTGTCTCTTGCCAGATCCCCTGAACAGTCAATGATAGACCACAGAATCTGAGAGGGCTTCCTGCAGGAACTGGGTGGGAGTTAGATCTCGAAGAGTGGCTGTCTTTGAGTAAATGCTTAGACAAGGGAGTGCATTCATTCCAATTGGCTGGACCAACAGCGAGGAGCTAGCTGATAAAGTAGATGGTCTGGCAAAGTAGGTGGGGCTAGGGAGGATATGAGGCTCCCTGGAAGGACTTGTCCACTAACCTGAGAGCTTTGTCCTCCAGCCAGTGGGAGGAGACTTGGGTGGGCTCATTTGTAGCCAAAGACGGACATACAGGAAGCACGGATAAAACTGGTTACCTCCAGCCCAAACTCACCTGTACATTAGGCTCCACTGCCCTGGCTTAGGCAGCAAAGTCACCTGCCTGCCCTTCCCTGCATCTCAAGTTCCCCTGTAGACCCAACTAGGAGCAGTGAGCAGGGCTTTGAGCACCCTCTGCTGGCAAATGGTTTTGGAGCGGAGACTGCAATTGAGGCTTTGCAGTTTCCCAGCAACCTGGAGGCAACTTGGTGATGGAGCTGACTGGAGTTATCACACCAGGCACTGGAACACCACAAACCTGGGCACCACAGACTCCCAGTGAAATGGGGGATGTTGCCCTGGGACAGTGGCACACTCATCCCCAAATACAGGGCTGGGGCACGATGAGATTCTGGACAGTGAAAGGCAGGCAGCAGCTACCCATACTCTTGGTTTGATAGTGGAGAGTGGGGAATTTGTGGGTGGAAAAGGATTCACTTTGGCTACAGCAGGAAAATTGGTTCAGAAAATAAGGATGATGTTGCAGAAAATAAGCAATCCTTGAATGCTAGATTCAGACTGTGGACTTAATGCTCAAGCAAGTTTGGAGAAAAGAGCAGAGAGCAAAAGTAGAAGGGATGTTTGCAATCAGTGAAAATGTTCTACATCAGCTAAGTTCTGAACACAGTGCAGGGCATGTTAGAGGATAGAGGTGTAAGTAGGAAGGTTTAACCCAGCCAAATGTGTTGATGGTGTTGGAGGAGAAAGGGACCAAAGGCAAGGTTGTGTGGAAGTGCCGTGTCACCTGTGAAGTACCTTTCTCTGTTGGCTCTGAAGAAAAGTCCTGGTCTCTTTTGAGTTTCTGCTCTTAGCAGACCTTCATGTGGCTGGGCATTTGTCTTCTCTGTTTCTCTGGCTTGCTTGTTTAATCTCCTTTATATTTCAAAAGAGATTGAGTCAAAACACACTCTACACTAATAATGTCTCCTTAGCATAACAAAGACAATTTTTTCCAAATAGGATTATAACCATCAGCATGTTGTTAAGTGCTGTTGAATTGGTTCTGACTCAACAGCATAGCAACCCAGCATAGGGTTTTCAAGGAGCGCCTGGTGAGCTTGAGCCACCGACCTTGTGGTTCAAACCAACTTTGCAGTCCAGCGCATGAACCCACAGCGCCGCGCCACACCAGGACTCCAACCATAAACATAGAGGTTCGGGTTTACAATACATATTTGGGGGGAGCACAAGTCAATCTGTAACAGGCTAGGCTTTCCCCTGGACCTGGACATTCCAGCCTGGGCAAGCAGACCATGGCTGATGAAAAAGTTTGTTTCTCATTTCTCCAAGCTGAGGGTACCTCTGTCACTGCCCCTGCCAAGGTCTCCAAACTTTTCCAGCTCAAGCCCAAATCTCAAGTGATGCCTACTGAAGAATTTCCAGGTAAGAGAAGCTCTAGAGCAGGATCGGCCCTCCTCAAAGCATTTCTCTGTCCACCTCCACTGGAGCAAAAGTACAGGAGGCAGAGTCACTGTCTGGCTCAGAAAAAAACCTCCCAGAGTAGTTGGGTCAAGGTTAAACTGAGTCTCCTCTTCCAGCCATCCCTCCCCAAGGGATCTGGGAGCAGGTATGAGTCAGAAACTCAGTGGACAGGCCACATGGCAGGCAGAGCAGCTTCCAGAAATAGCCTGTCCTGGCTCCCCTGGGAGATTCGACCCAGGGGCTCATCTTGGTGAAAGACAAGATCTGGGACACAAGGGTCACCAACACTGCTCCTTGGGACACTTGGGCACCTTCTTAGTGTCTCTGAAGAGACAAGGTGAAGGGAGCAGGCCCAAGGCCCTGGACATATCTCAGCTGTTTCTCCAAAGCTTCATATGCCCTTGACTGCCAAGGTCTAGGTCAGTCCCTCCCTTTCCTGACACAACAGTGGGGCTGAGTCCTCTAGAAATGCACAGATCATAGATGCCACCATTCTTGTTCAGTGGCACCCACACTGACCTTTTTGATCAGGAGATTGTTGCATCCCTTAGGGAAGACACCAAAGGATGGTGGAACCACCCCAACCCCCGGGAGACTTGTGCCAGACAGTCCTAGCACTTGCCCAGTGCATAAAGCAGAGACAGTCGTGCAGGATCCATCTGAGACCCACCTGGGTGGAGACAGCAGGGCATTGAGGAGACAGTTTTCCTCAATCATACCTCCAGAAACACTTGAGAATCAGCAGCAGGACCAGGAGGAGGGGAGGCAGGCAAGGACACCCAGGGGCAAACCTTAAGGGTTGTTTGAGGGCAGCCCTGGTCAGCAGGCCCCTTGGTGCCAACCAAACCTGCAGAAGAGCTCAGAGGGCAAAGGGCCCTGCAGGAGGAGTGGGCCTTTTTCTACCCACCAAATTCCAAAGCAGCATGGGGAGAAAGCTCCTGGTCCATCTGATCCTATCCAGCATTCATGCATTCCTTTTCCATCCACTTAACCATTGAGGATACAAGTGAAGGCATTGAGCCTTCCCTCACTGAGCATCCAATCTGGTGGCATGGCTCTCTCCTCCTTCCATGAATCATTTCCCCATCACTCTGCATGTGGGCGTCCTTCAGCACTTTGCCCTTTACCAGGCCAGGTCTCTAGGAGGTGCTGCCCACTGGTCTTCTCAGTTCCCTGCCCCCAGAAGCAGGTGGGAATTTGTGGTTCTAAGACTGGTTTTCTTTTGACCTCAAAGCCAAAAAACCTGGTCCTTGTCTTTCCCAAATGGCACAGGAGTGTTGGAGGCCCAGGGCATCTTTCTGGGCCAGGTTATTTTCTAAAGACACCTGACTCCCTGTGTGTTTTTGCGCAGCTCCTTCTTTGCCCTGTGCCTCAGTTTCCCTAGATACACCATGGGGGCGGGGGGAGACAATGGGTAAGAGACAGCAGCAGGAAGGCACCGTCTCCCCATGCTCCTTGACTCTTGTTGTTCCTCCCGCTCGGTGTGACCCAGACTGCGAGTGCTACGGCCACTCCAACCGCTGCAGCTACATCGACTTCCTGAACGTGGTGACCTGCGTCAGCTGCAAACACAACACACGTGGCCAGCACTGCCAGCACTGCCGACTGGGTTATTACCGCAACAGCTCCGCGGAGCTAGACGACGAGAACGTTTGCATCGGTGAGCCAGGGCGCAGGGTTGGGCTACTGGGGTCAACAGTGTAGGTAGGAAACTCCCGGTACATCAGATTCAGCGGGGAAGGCTATGGAAATTCTGATTCCAGGGCCAGCTCCAGCTAGGGACTGAAGTCTTGGAATCAGCTCTAGTAATAACCACCCCATAGGCACTGGAGCTGGAGAACCACTAGGTTCTAGAGCTTGCCTTGCTGTGTGCATTTGGGCAAGCCAGCTTCCCCTCTCTGGGTATCAGTCCCCCATTTGTAAAATTAGGTAGCAGACCAGATCAAAGATTTTTGTATTTTTTTCTGTGTGTATGCATGTGGTTGACCCTTTTCTTATTATAAAATTCTTCTAATGCTTTATAAGTTGTTGTTGTTAAGTGCTGTCAAGTTGCAGCCCATAGCGACCCAGTATAGGGTTTCTAAGGAGCAACTGGTGAGTTTGAACCCCTGGCCTTGTGGTTCAAACTGATCATGTGGTTCAAACCGACCTTCCAGTCTTACGCTTATCCTACAGCACTATACCAGGCCCAGTTTTTAACTACCCTCCACCCCTTGTGGTGTCCTGGTGTGGCGCTGTGGGTTAATGCTCTGGACCGCAAGGCTGGTTTGAACCACAAGGTCGGTGGTTCAAGCTCACCAGTCACTCCTCAGAAACCCTGTACAGGGTTGCTATGAGTCAGAACCAACTCGACAGCACTTAACAACAACAACAACAACCCCTGGTAGGCTCCTGGTCTATTTTCTTCCAGCTATGAATCAGCACTGAACAGCAAGCCACAAGGTCGGCAGTTCAAACCCACTAGCTGCTCCTTGGAAATCCTATACACAGGGTCATTATAAATCCAGACTGACTCCATGACATTTAACAACAATGACTCCGGGATTAGTTGGGGTGGGGTAGTGAGGGAAGCATGAGGGCACTGTGCAGTCATGTGTGGGGCAGAATATGCCAGAAAGGCCAAACCCAACCTCTACCTGAGCATCCAGGAAGGGTTGTCCACCACCTCTTTAGAAGCCAGGTCTCAGCCCCAGGGGCTGCCCCCAGGTGTCCAGCCAGCCTCCCAGAACCTATTGCCAATTCCCAACCCCAGCCCCCACCCCGACCAAGGTGACTCTGGTTTCAGAAGGAGGGGCTGCCCACAAGGCTGCAGCTGTCTGTCTGCGTTATGGTTGCCTCCTTCAGATAATTCTATTAATTTTAAAGTGATCAAAATGAAATTGTACTGCTAAATCACAGGGAACAGCAGCAGGGACAGGACAGGGCCTATGGATCCCACTCAAGTTTCCCTTTCCCCAGTGCCTTCCTTTCCCTGCCTCTCTGCAGACTCAGAATGGGGGACATTCACTTCCTGCCATAGAGCAGAGGCCAAAGAAATCAACTGGGAGGAAGCTGAAGGCCCTAGGGCTGCTCCCCCACCCTTCCCTGGCCTGCAACTATATAAGTTGCAGCCTGGCAGATTCTTCGTTTGAAGCTGGAAAGGATCAGTGCCTCTTTCAGTTGCAGCTACCGGAGGCCCAGATAGGGAAAGGGGCTAACCCAAGGTACACAATGCCAGGGCTAGGACTGGAGAGTGGACGGGAGGCTGCTGGAAAGATAAAATGGATTATCTGGCCACTCCTATCAGCCTCCTTCCACCGCCCAGCCCATGAAACACGAGGATAAGGTGTGAGGACCACTGTCCAGGGAGTCCGATGGGCTGGGATGTAGGAGAGGAGGAGTGGGGTAGGGATGGCTGCGGAAGGCACCCCAGGTCATTGACCACGTGCCCGTCTAGAATGTAACTGCAACCAGATCGGCTCCGTGCACGACCGGTGCAACGAGACCGGCTTCTGTGAGTGTCGCGAGGGCTCGGCGGGGCCCAAGTGTGACGACTGCCTCCCCACGCACTTCTGGCGCCAAGGCTGCTACCGTAAGTGCAAGTGTTCCCCCAGAACTGGGATGGGAAGGAAGTAGGACCTGGGGGGGTAGGGGAGGCTTGATGTCACAGGGGCAGGGTTTGTGCCGGGAGGGAAAGATCTGTGGCAGTAGGGATTGAGGCCCCCTAGTGGAGACCCAACACCAAGTAGGAATTAGTCAAGGGAAGGCGGTAGAAGGGCCCTCCGGGCACATGGAATAATAACATGTGCCAAGTCCTGGACAGCCGCACGGAGGCCAGTGAGGCGAGAGAATCAGGGACCAGTTTACCGTCCGAGAAGGGACATGTCCTATTGAGTGAGCCCTGTGCATCCTAAACCCCCCGGGTCCAGGCCGCATCCATCTTCTCAACCCGTGTCCTCTGCTCCGCAGCCAACGTGTGTGACGACGACCAGCTGCTCTGCCTGAACGGCGGCACTTGCGTACAGAACCAGCGCTGCACCTGTCCCCGCGGCTACACTGGCGTGCACTGCGAACAACCCCTCTGCGACCCCACCGACGAAGACAGCGGCCTGGACTGCGACCGTGCGCCGGGGACCACCCCCGGCCCCGCCACCCTGCTCGGCTGCCTGCTGCTGCTGGGGCTGGCCGCCCGCCTGGGCTGCTGAGTCCATCCGGAGGAGTGTCGGCCTTGGAGGGCCGTCCACGCGCCCGGCCGCGCCCTATGCGCGATAGCTAGTGGCCCGGTGAAAGCTAGGGCCAGCGTCAGTGGGAGGCCAGGCGGCGAGAAGGGTGCGGCCCGAGCTGCTCTCAGGTGCTACTCAGCAGAGTCCTCCGCCTCACCTGCCTCCCTCCTCAGTGGCACCTGGCCCCGCCCCGGCACTGCCCTCCCTCTACAGCAAGGGGCGCTGTGGAGCCCTGGCCCTCCGCGGCCTACAGTTAGGGTTTCAGTTTTTCTTTAATATTACCCACCCCTTTCCTCTTTTTCATTTTTATTTTTTTATTTGCTGGCGGTGAGACAGGTGGGAAGCAATGCTACCCACCCCAACACCCCAGGTCCTGCCTCCCACCATACACACACTTGACTGTTGCAGACACCCCAACGCCTATCCCTGGCTTACATCACCAGCCAGTGGATCTGGAACTCCAGTTGCCTACAACTCTACTCGCTGACTTGATTCTCTTTTATATTCTTTGTTTTCCTTTGCAAACCACCAGAGCCCAGGCCCCAGTGACGCTTGGTGGCCAAGGAACTCACTGTCTGGGGAGGAGGGGAGGAAGGCGGGTTGGGAGGGCTGGAAACGTTGTTTTGTAGAGAACTATTTTTGTTTGTATCAACTGTCCCTATAAGGAGGGGACCCATGGGTGGGAACGCTGGTCACCATGGGATAGTTGATGATATATAATCTGACAGAGTAAAGAATCTATTCATTGCTGCCTCCTGCACCTGTTTTTTGTTTGTTTGTTTGTTTGTTTGTTTGTTTGTTTGTTTGTTTGTTTGTTTTCTGTGCTCATGGCTTTAAGAGGAACCCTCAAAATAGCCTTAAAGAAATTATTTCACTACCAGGGCCACCCCTTGCCTAGGTGGAATTACTGTGAATACAAACAAGCAGGGCTCTCCCAGTAGCCCTGGTCCAGCCCCAGGCTAACCGACCTCTCACCCCTACTCGTGAACCACATGCTAGAAATCCCTGAAACTTCAAGATTGTCTCCCATGTGACCCCTTTCCCTGATACACTGACACGTTCCTTCAGCTGACTTAAAATTTAACATCCATGCTGGACTGATGTTGCTGTAGAAGTCCAAGGGAAATGAATCAGAGAGCATTTTAATAGAGGTTGAATCTGTTGCTCAGATTTATGAATCTGCCTTAGTGGCTGTTTAGGATAAATTTGTTACCTGAGACCTGCTGGTCCCAGTGCCTCAAGTTGTTATCAGGCTATACAATATCATCCCACAGACTCACCTTTCTGCTGCTGCTACCTCCTCCCAGAGCCCCCTGCTGGCCATATGCTCCCAGAACAAGTGCAGGCCTACAGAGGAGGACAATGCAAGGATCTCCATCAGACCACACTGCCCTTCCCCTTCCCCTTCCCCTTCCCTTCTAAAGATCATGAAAGGGAAGACAGCTGGGGAGTTGTGAGTGGACGTTCTTATGCATCTGAGGTTCATCAGCCTAGGGATTTTGCTATGTTAGGGGTCTACACATTTCTCCAGTTCCACATAGTATCTCCAGTCTTTGGGGCATATCTCCCCCTACTTGATCTTAAGTTCTGGGTTGTCTTCCCCACGTATTTTTCCCAACCCTATAGACGTGTGTCCTGGTTCCTAGTTGCTCCTACCTGCTGTTCCCCTCTTGTACAGGTTTCTGCCAACTACAGACACTCTTTTCCAGGCTGAGAAGTTTAGACCTGCGTCCCTTCCTTAAGTCCCCAGAGCAACGCTAAGACAGTTTTGCAAGAACATGACCTTTGAGATAACAAGAGGTTCCAGCACACCGAAGGAGGGAAGATCTACATCTGAATATTAAATATGGCATACAGCATCCCAAGACCAGACACCCTCCTACTGGCTTCTTCTCTCAGCTCCCCAGGTCTGTCACCAGGTTGCAGGGGTCCTGCCCAACCCCCACAGGAAGTGCCTTCTATTAGGATGCCTTGGATTCCCCAGGCTCTGTCCTCACCTTCTTTCTTACTATCAGAACTACACTTGGGAGAGGCCCCAGGTACCCAGCTAAAGTAAAACACATCTTCAGGGGTCCTAATGGATTTGGTGGCCAGGTGACAGTTCTGACTGATGCAGGAATGATAGGTGGAGAGTCTGGAAAGTTTCTTTAAACCCAGCTCTCTTTCTGCTCTCCACAAAGCCTCAGTTGGCCAAGTTTGGGCCTTGGCTTTTCTCTTTCACCCTTCCCTTTGGGTTTACAGTCATGATAGCTGGTGGGATGGTCAGGAGTCACCTGGCAACCCTGAGTCTGGTGGAACCAGAAGGTGGACATCACCTTTCTGAGGACCCAACAGACCCAGGAACACCAACCCTAGTTATCAATCTCTATACTTTTGAATGTGTGGGAAAAATAAGTCTTGATAATTAAAATAAGTAGTTAAAGCACTGGAATTTAGGTTTTCTGTTACATGAAGACCTACAGATTCCTGATTGATAAATCTCCCCAGCATCTAGGCCCCCCGAGTTAGTGGAGGCCAGAGAGAGACTAAAACAAACTCTTCCCTCCTGGTCCACAGCCTTATATTTTAACACTTTGTTCTTCCGACTGAGGAGGTCAGGTCCTCACTGTCTTGAACCATCTCTTTCCAGAACAGAACCTTTAAATGACCAAAGTAGAGGAGTAGGCTGAAGTAAACACACCTCTAGAGAAATACAAACACTGGTGGCAACTTGTAAATAATAGTCGCCTTTCTTCTAATCATCAAGATTCTTCAAAATCTAGGATCCTAGGTTGGCAGTTCAAACCCACCAGCTGCTCTTCATAAACTCTATACAGGGTCGCTATGAATGGGAACCGACTCAATGGCATTTAACAACAACAATGCTAACTAAATAGGAGTCCTAGGGACTCAGTGATTGAGTTGGTTTGAACCCACCTGGTGATCTGCTCCCATAATGATTTCAGTCTCTGAAATCCCAGGAGGCAGTTCTACTGTGCCCTAAAGGATTGATATGAGCCTGAATGGAGACCATGGCAAATAACAGTAGATAAGCAGATACATTTTTAAAAAGGAAAAGGCGTCCTGTGTCAGCTAGTCACAATACACATGGTTTCCGGTACTCTCATAGGCTCTTTGGGGTAGTATTGCTAGAAGAAGAGAAGGTGGTGGCGGTGGTGTTTGTGTACCTTCAAGTCCGTTCCGACTCATAGTCCCTAGATAGGGTTTCTGAGGCTATAAATCTTTATAGTGCAGAAAACCTCAGAAGATCAGGAGAGGTTTCATTTCTTCAAGCTTCCTCCCACTCCCTCTTACATCACTTGGGTATGTCTCTGGCAGATCCCAAACTCATGAGGGTTCTGGAAAGAAAGGGGCCTTGGTGGGCACCCACTCTGTCCTCCATGACTACACTCTGGATGGCCTGTGCTGTGTCAGCTTTCCTGGGACTAGTCTTTGTGGCACGAGGGCTGAGGGCGGGGAGGTGGAGCGTGCTGTAAATCACAGTGACAGTCCCAGTCCCTGGGGACTCAGCTCAGGCCCTGACCAGAGGGTGAAGGGAACATGGCCAGGGGCTATTTGGAAAATTCTGACATCTTCCAGGCAGTGGGGAGAAGGAGAAAACAAGGTTAGCTAAGCACAGTCTCATAGGGCAGACTTTCTTGTCCCTTGTCCTCAGAGCTCACTTTTTGACATCTGAGTCTGAGAGGTAAAAGGGAGAAGGCTTCCATTTCACAGCATTTGTGGGGAAGTGGAAATAAAAGGTAGTGGAATTTTCCCATGAACTGTTTGAAGCCCCCTCGGACTTCAAATGGTTGATGAGTTCAGGCACTCTACATGCCATCACCCTAGGAAGGATTCTCAGTTTGGGAGCCATTGGCAGTTGGGACTGGACTGGGTTTTGCTATGGAAGGCATTGTTAATGTAGTTGTGGTCTCTACCCTCTAGATGCCAGTAGCAACACCCTCCAAGTGGGGACAACCCAAAGTGACAACTAATATTGCAGAAAATGAGGGTAAAATCACCCAGGTGGAGCATTACAGCTCTTGCTATTTTTCAGAGAGGAATGGAGATTTGGCTAGGGGAAGTGTCTTGCCCCAGGGAGGTCACAGTTGCTGAGAAATAGAGATGAGTTGAACCCAGGGAGGCCTGACTCCAGAGCTCCACCGAACCACAAGTCCAGGCATCCTCCCAGGACCAGGTCTGCAACTCCTGCTACCCCTGCCTCCTCCCCTCGCCCCTGCCGACCTCCCAGTCCCTTGCTTTCTCCTCACTACTACAGAGAGGCTGTAGACTGGCTTATACAGGAGCCCTGGGGAGCCTGGCTTCATCCAAATAGCTCTGGCTGTCAGGGGAAAGGCCTCCTCACAGGGTCCCTCCACAGCAGCCCTGTTGTGCCCCTGCCCTCACTCTGGCCCCTCTAAATAAGCAAGGCTGCTGCGTTGGCATTTCCTGCCTTGGCTACCATACATTACAGTTATGAGACATTTATGGGAGCCTGGGGAACAGCCTTCCGCATCTCTGAGCAGGCCTGGGAAGGCAGGGCTGAGAGGGGACACACCCCCACTGCCTGCACTCCTGTCCCAGCCAGCCTCCTTCTCTCCCCAGGGACCTCCAAGTTCCTCCTTGTACATCTCAGTCCCAAAGAGTTAGGAGATAAGGCCCAGGGTAGAAAAGCATGTTTTATTTCTTTTTCCTTTTTAAAACATAAATCACAACTGTAGGGAACTTAGAAAATATAGGAAAGCGAAATAATACTTTTTAAATTAAAATTAGCTTACAATCCTCCATCCAAAGCTAATAACTATTAATATTTCCTGATATGTATACATATATGTATGTATATAAAATAAAATACTAGAAATATTTTATGGAAAAATACTAGAAATATATATATATATATATATATGTTTCTGTGTGTATATATATATGTGTGTATGTGTATATATGTGTGTGTGTGTGTGTTTATATATATATATATATATTTCTACTATTTTCCATAAAAT